GCACTGGCGGCCTTCGGCCGCGCTTCAAAAAAATAACCCTGGTCGGTCCAAAACCGGGGTGTTCATAATTCAATTGCGTCAAACTCCTTTCTGCACAAACAGCAGCGAAAAGGTTTTCACGAAATTTTAACCCTTCATATAATTTTTTTGAAGGGTGGCCGACGGCTAAATCCACTGAAATTGTATTTCACAGACTCCCTTCACATACCATCTGCAACCCCAACCCCCTCCGAAGTGGGGGTCATTAAGTACAAAATTACCGAAAATAATGTTGATCGCAATATTAACGATCCTTTGTATATAATTTATTGGTACTAATTATCTGTATAACCAAATTTCCATATTCATTGCGCAGCATAAATTTTAAATTCATGCAACTGAACTGAGTATCTATAAGAAAATATATTTTATTTGTCATTTGATTGAAAAATTTCCTAAAAATGTAAAATAAAGTTGTCCTTTAAATACTTTGTAAAAAGTGGTTTATAAATTTCTCCCGCTTTATAATGTCTACTAATTTATTAACTTGATTCAATAAATATAAATGCGAGAGCTTTTGGCACTTCCAATATTTATTTCAATGTTTTTTGAAAGAGAAAGTAATGTTAAAGAAATTAGCTATTTTATATATTTTGATGACAAAAAATATATACATTTATACTAGAAGATCCGGTCGTGCGTTGCTGTGGCTATGATATACAGAGTACAGGAGAGAGGGGGGAAAATCGGTGTCCGAAAATCTCATGGGAGCCCAGTGCTTTACAACAATTTTTGGCAAATTTTTTCTCCAACAATCCAGTACAATTGTTCCCATTATGAATTACTATATTTTAAATTTTTTGTTAAAACTATGCTTCTCAGCAGTCATCATCAATTGAAACATAAAATTTGTTTGTGTTACTTATGTATGTCTCGAGCACATGTAAACAAAAAATATGCTTATGGTAAAATTAAATTTATTTTTTCTCAAAATAAATAAAATATAATCAAGGGTGTCCAAGATAGATTTGTTGTAATTCCAGATGACGGAACATCGAAAAATATAACTTCGAAAAAGAAAAAAAAACAACATACAATGTGCGAAATACTATAAATAGACACAACGAATATTCCTAAATAAAAAATCGTTGCACATACCTAATTAGATTTATGTTTTCAATTTCTATGATATGACAAATCTAATAATAATGAAAAGCCTTCTGAATTAAAAAGCTGTTCTACCGGTAAAAACCGAAGATTTTATAATAAAATAAACATTTAATAGACTATTTTTCCAACTTATGTATGTGCGTTGCGTACCATTCCTTACCCAAATATAAGATTTTCGACCTTCCAGTTCACTTTATATGGTATATATCGGTCAATATGGTTGATATTTTAATGGCATGACGCAAACGTGTTACCTTAGAGACACCTATGTAATAAATAACTATTGTAATTATTTCCATCATTCTGGTACTTACATTTTCACCCGAGTTAAGCAATCCATCTAAGCTATCGATAATATCGAACCAATGAACTTTGGGATATACTTGTACATGGGAGGTACATACATACACTTATAGGAAGTATAAAAATGTATGTTTACGCATATCTTGGATAAGCTCATAAATGCACACGGTAATATGTTTTAACCGCAAACAGTTAGTAACACCAACCTGTTCAATGAATTGAAATACCTACAATCGTCTGCCCACATTTCCATAACAGACCGCGCCGAACCGTTAACAGTTTTTTTCAGTTTATTATACTTGCATATGTACATATGGTACATATGTATTTACACTGATTATTCACTCGCAGATTCCATAACACATGTAAATATGTATGTACACGGTGTATCAAAAAGCGCAACCGTGGATATTGCCTAGAAATGTGTGGTAACTATTTAATCTGTTCGTGGATGAGTGAACACCATGTTACGTTTCCAGGCCACTGGTCGAACTGCTCTTGTTGCAGTCTACTTGTGCGTTACCGTGATGATTTTTCTAATGTGCACCGCAAAGTTTAATATACATATGTAGGTATGTGTACGTGCATGTCTATTTGAGTATTTTTAAAAAAAATCTATAAAGAAATGTTCTCTTTCCATGCAATGCCTATTTTTATACTCTCGCAACCTGTTGCTACAGAGTATAATAGTTTTGTTCACCTAACGGTTGTTTGTATCACCTAAAACTAATCGAGTTAGATATAGGGTTATGTATATATAAATGATCAGGATGAAGAGACGAGTTGAAATCCGGGTGACTGTCTGTCCGTCCATCCGTCCGTCCGTCCGTCCGTGCAAGCTCTAACTTGAGTAAAAATTGAGAAATCTTTATGAAACTTGGTAGACATGTTTCTTGGTACCGTGAGACGGTTGGTATTGCAGATGGGCGTAATCGGATCACTGCCACGCCCACAAAACGCCATTAATCAAAACCAAATAACTTTCCATAACTAAGCTCCGCAATAAGATACAAGACTGTTATTTGGTGCACAGGATCACATTAGGGAGGGGCATCTGCAGTTAAAACTTTTTTTAAAAAGTGGGCGTGGTCCCGCCTCTAATAGGTTTAATGTGCATATCTCCTAAACCGCTAATGCTATAATAACAAAATTCACTAGAAGCAAATGTTTTTAGCACTTCTATTGACGGTGTGAAAATAGTTGAAATCGGGTGGCAACTCCGCCCACTCCCCATATAACGGTACTGTTAAAAACTACTAAAAGCGCGATAAATCAAGCACTAAACACGCCAGAGACATTAAATTTTATCTCTGAGATCGTATAAGATGACTTTATAGGAACCGCGTTCAAAATTAGACAGTGGGCGTGGCACAGCCCACTTTTAGGTGAAAACCCATATCTTGAGATCTGCTTAAGCGATTTCAACCAAATTCGGTGCGTAACGTTCTTTTCATGTTTCTATGTCATAGTGCGAAAATGGGCGAAATCGGATTACAACCACGCCTATTTTCCATATGACACCATTT